GACCATTGCTCTGATTGGAACACGTGGCCTGATTGCTGGCCTTGCTGCTGGGTAGTAAAGCACTGAGTAAGGCTGCTGTGACCTTTGGGAGCTCTCTGTGACAGTGCCTGTGGGTTTTGAGTGGCCCAAGGTACCTAAAGGAGGTGCCTGCAGGGAGGCTCTCGGTGTGACATCCCTGCTGCTCCCTGTGGGGGATACCAGCTCTGAGCATCTGAAGTCTCTGATTCAGAATCTCTGCCTGAACCCTTTCTGTGCAAATGCTCATTACAGTTGTTATCCACTGGGATTCTTTCACTGCAATGGCCCTTGGGGCCTCAGCACGTGGCAGGTGTGTTCTCAGAGACACAAAGGAGAAGCAGCATCATTCCTCTTAACCTGGAACTGCAACAAAGCCATCAAGTCACTTTTCTACAGCCTGCAGCAAATTTGGGAAATGAAGCTGCGTTTGCTGTGGCTCAGGGAACATTTCTAGTTAGCCAAGAGGATGGACCAGGCAGTAAACTAGATTTACAGTTTTTATTTTTCAAATAATGCTTTGGAACACTTTATTGAGCAGCAAAACGAATTGCATCTGCTCATCTCCCACTCCCACATAAAATACAGAGAGGTTTTCTCCAGGATCATATTCCTTTCAAAAGGGTTTTTTGTACCATTCTCTGCTCAGTGCCAGTCTGGGAAACATGTGCAGCCATTTGATAAATATATTGTGAAAATCATGGTTGAAGTGGCAGTCTGCCTGCAGCAGAGGAATGGCTACAGGGGAAAAAATGGTAAATAAGATATCTGTAAGTAAATTAATTTTGCTCATATAAGCTTGTTTGCAGTTTCAGTTCGTGTCTGCAGCATTATCCTCTGTTCTACAGCAGGTGTTCAGTGTTGTGGGGGATCAGCAGGGACAGCAGAGCTGTGCAGGAGCTGGGAGCTGGTGATGGTAGAATTTCTGTTTTGCTGGGATTTCTCATCACAGCAAGGTGTGGTTGTGCCACAGCCTGAAAAACTGCAAATCCACCATTGATTTAGCCTTGCAGAAATTAATAGTTGCCTTTTGTACTGAGTTTATGCACAATGAGACTGTGCTGCACATAACTGATTTGCTTATTCTGAAATCTTTGCTTTCCAATACAGTTTTGGAGGATTTATCAGTGAAAAGGAATTCTTCAAACAGCAGAACTTGAAACAAAGCCCAGCTCTACAGATGAACAATTATATTCTTTAAAGTCTTGCTGGATTTTTTAGCCTGCTTTTAGCAGCACTGTTTTATTTGTTTCAACAATATATAGGTCTGTTTTGATGGGATGGACTGATTTATGGGGTTTATCTTCAGTTTATCTAGTTCAGTTGTCAGTTAGCTGAAGATTTCTTTTGCAGCCTGTGCTGTGGGTTAGTACTGAGCAAGTTTGCTTCAGCTTTTGAGGAGGAGACACCCAGGGTGCCTGGTCTGGGTGGTGAGGGGCTGCTCAGGTCACTGACACAGGCATCACTGTTTGCTCTTCCCAGAGCTCCTGGCCTTTTCTTCCTGCTGGCTGAGCAGTGTGAGACTCACAAATATTCAGTCCAGGTGGGAGGTTTGTGGGCTTTCACACCCAGGCACACAGCAACATGGGCAGGTTCTTCCTTCCCCTTGTTCCTATGTATGGGGAAAACCTTGAGAGGAATTATGGATTTGTCTTTACACACAAGCTGTGGGTCTGCTGGTAGATAAAACCAGCACTGAGAGATAAAAGAAACAATGGGAAGGATTCCACTGATTGATGAATGGAAAAAAAGGTATTTGCCTTTACAAACAAACTGTAGGTTTGCTGATAAATGAAATTGGATATTGAAAGATGAAAGAAGCAATGGGGAAAAACCATGAATTCTATATAAAAAATTAAAAGGGAGGGTTGTACATTAAAGGGGAATCTTAGGTATCAGGTGCTCTGGGAAGTCTGTGCCTCTCAAGTACCTCAGCAATGGGGAAAGAAAGAGGGGAATGTGGCCGGGAAATTGGGATAAAAAGGAGGCTTTATCCTCCAAAAATTTGAGAGACTCCAAGGGGAATGCCCCATGGCCTCTCCTTTTATTCGAATAAAGTTACAGGATTCCTCTGTCTCCTTTTTGGACATAAACCTCTGGTGTTTGTGGATTAATTTTCCTGACAGCCTTGTGGTGGGAGGAGGGAAGGTGTAGGAGCTGCAGGCTTTGGGTGCAGATTCCTTTTCCTCCTGGTGCTGCCCAGGAGTGAGGTGAGCTGTGACTGTCCAGGGGCCAAAGCTGCATCATGGAAGGGCCTCGGTTTTATTTCTCTGTAGGCAGAAGAAACAGCTTTGAGTGCAGGGTGGCCTTGGGTGCTTCCTCCTATCCCTTGGGCAAGCTGGGTTAAATGGTGGAAGCATTTTTGCTCCCTCCTTCCTTTCATTTAGAATGATTTCTGTGGTGTCCCAGGCTGCCAGGAGAGCTGCAGCCCAGCCCTGGCAGAGGCTGCTGGCAGCAGGGATGTGGCTGGTGCTCTCCTGGCCATGCAGAGCAGCCCTGGGAAGCCCTGATCCACAGGCAGGGCTGGACTGATTGTGATGACCTTCCCCTACAGCCCAGCATGCAGGCATGCCAGGTGTGTCACTGGGGAATCCCAGGTGTGTCACTGGGGAATCCCAGGTGTGTCACTGGGGAATCCCAGGTGTGCCACTGGGGAATCCCAGGTGTGCCACTGGGGAATCCCAGGTGTGTCACTGGGGAATGGGCTGCTCCCCAGGCTCTGGAGGAACTGGGGTGGCTGCAGGCTTGCAGTTGCCCTGACCCTGATGCTCCTTGCTTAGCTCAGAAGCTTTCCAGACTTCACAAAAGCATTTTGCAGACAGCAAATGCCTGGTGGGCTTCTCACAAATGGGTTTTGAAGGGTCAGTGCTGGCTGGCTGGTTTGCAGCCTGGGTTTGGGGGTTTGGAGAGCAGGGAGGTCTGGCAGAGGGTTTGTGGGACCACGTGCAGTGTGTGCTGGACTGAACCCCAAACCCCTTCCCTCACTGCTGAGAGCCCCCCCAGTGCCTGCACCCTGGCTCCAAAGGGGATTTGTGCTTTGGGATTGACATGTTTAAATATAGTTCTAATAGAAGCTTTTAAAGCTGATCTCACCATTTCATTAGTGTTTTGAGTGAGTGACACTTCTGTCAATTTGTTTTAAGCAAGCCTGCAGAAAAGACAGGAGAGGGGAAAGGAGGTGAACAGTGGGATGTGGAGGGGAATATCTTAGATTTGGGTATTCCCTTTCAGTGACAGCGTGTATCCCTGTGCTTGGCACATGACCTGGGGTGAAGCCTCCAGTCAAGATCTTAATCTGGTTTTCTCATTGATGTCAAAGGTTGTTTGAGCTTGGCTGCCATGGGGGACTCAGGAGGCCATCCCTGTGCAGCAGAGTTCACTGTAGTGTGTTTAACTGAGCACTGGAGCCCAGCTCAGCTCCTTGACAAGGGCTGTGTGTATTCCCAGGCTGATGCTGGACGGGGCTCTTTGGACTCGCTCACCCCCACCCTGTCCTCATGTAAATGAAATGTAGATGCAAGTGTCACCTGGCTCGCAGGGGTTTTATGCACAACCTGCTTTGAATACAGAGAACCACTGGCTGCAATATTTCAGGGTTAAGCCTACTCTGGAATTCACTGGATGCAGGCTGGGATGCTGTGAGTGAAGTCAAGTACTCCCCCACTATCCCCAGAAGCTGGGCAGAGGGATGAAATGATGCAGTGCTGCATCTTCAGAGGTGATTAAGTGTTGACAGCCATGTGCTGCAGAGGATCATTTCCTGCTCTGCACTGTGCTGGGAAGACTGAAATCTGTTTTAAATTGAGACTGAAATTAGCATCCAGGAAACAGCGATTTTATGCAGCAGTTTTAGCCTTGTATTGCACTTTTGTGTCCTGTAGGTCTTTTCCCAAGACAAAACTGATTCCCACCACACTTTAATCATTAAGCATTGTTGATTTGCAACTCACTGTAGTTTTTATACACGGTGGACAGCAAGATGAACTTGTGTTTGCACACAGACTGCAGCTGTGTAGGGCCAGGGGCAGCCCTGGAACCAGATTTGCTTCACTCTCTAGGGCCCTTCAGGGCAGCAGAGACACTACTGGGGAGCCCTACATGGCTGTGGAGTTGTTGTTATGCTTGTTGGATTTGAGTACATGCCAGAAGCTCTTGTATCCCATAAATACGAATTCAAGAGGTTGAAAGTTCAACCCTTGACCCTCAGTTGTTGGGATGCTTCTCCCAGTTTTGTAGGCTCTGGTTGGCTGTAGGTCTGGCTACAGAAGGAGAAGTTCTCTTTAGCTGTGTCACTTGTTACACATCAGATAAAATCTCATTTTTATCTCTTTCCTGTCTAGCTCAATGCCTGGGTTTGCCTTTTAATCTGAGTGTTTGTACCTTGTGCCTGCCAGTGTTTTGCCTTCACTTTCTTGCATGCTGGAAGAAGCCAGAAATGACTGGTTATGTTTGTGTCGAGTGCACATTATTATTCAGTTTACCTCTGTTTGTGATTCTTTTCAGATATTTCATGGAGCCTTTGAGCCCTAACATCACTGCTCTCTGCGTGGCCATTTGAGACCAAACGAGCTGGACACAGCCATGGGAGACTCTCCAGGAAATGTCACAGATGGAGGCATGGACACACAGACTGAACTGGTAGAGAGGGTGGCAGCCATAGATGTGTCTGGTGTCCCAGACAGAAGTGACCAAAATGGTGAAGACAACCCTGAAGAAAATGACACAGTCTTTTCTGATAACATAAAGGACATCCAAAGAAATGGGGTCAGCAGTGACGTGGGAATCAATGAATTTCTGCCTTCCCAGCAGTCAGAAGATGCTCACTTGAGGCATGTTCCCAAGAGACCTCTAACTAGACCTGGTCTATCAAGTAGGAAGTTGTCCCTTCAGGAAAGATCATCAGGAGGTTATTTGGCTTCTAGCAACCCTCCAGGCTGTGGTCCTTATGCCACAGGGCCATCACCACGTATAATCAGGAGACCAACGATCGAGTCCCATCGTGTCTCCATATCAGACTCTGAGGTAGGCATGTTCTCCCCTACAGCTGAGGTGTTGAGCTAAGGTAAGTCTTTCTCTGGTGGTAATGGGAGCCCTCAGTCTTCTGGAGTAGTAGACCTGAAAGTACTGTTATTTCTAAGGGGCTGGAAAAATCCTTGGAACCAGGGATCATACTAGCTTGGAATGGGAGAGCTCTGCTGGGTGTAGCCCTGGCCCTGACATTTGGCTCCTTTAGCCCTCTCCTGCCTGGCCTAGTCCTGTTAGGGGACCATGACCCCTGTGTCATGGTGGCACACAGGAATTTTTTCAGGTTGTTCAGAGAAAGGGCAGTGGCCAGAAGACTTTGCTCTGCTGTAGGGAATTCACCAGTCACAGCAGCTTTGATGATGGTATTTTATGGATTTAAACTTCTGGAGATTATATATCTACTGTTGTGTTTTGCCATAATTGAGGGCACGATTTAATTTTATAAAGAGCTTAAATGCCTGGCTCCTGTCAGGGTTTTCTTTTCTCTTTAAAGCATTTGTGACAGCAGTGGTAAGGGGAGGCTGTGACCGTGCTGTCCTTCAGAGGGGTGTCTGGGTGGCTGTGGTTGTTCTGCAGCTGCTTTCCTGGTCCCAGACCTGCCCTGGAGGAGCTGTGACAGCTGTCAGTGGTCCAGTGTCTTGATGGGAGTGGGTGCTGGTTGCAATTCCCAGTGCTGGATGTGCTGTAGTGGGGAGGGCAGGGGGGCTGTTCAGACCACACTGCTCAGTGTCATGACCAGAGCAATGCAGGGACCCACATCACTGGGGTTCAGACTTCTGCCAGTGTGGGCCCAAGGGACCTGGAGCTTAACATCAGTGTGGCTTGGCATTTCCCTTTTGAGAAGTGGGTGTTTTTTGGTGCACACCAAATCAGCTGGGGAGTTGTGCAAGTCACATCAGCTGTGGGATGGGTGGTGCAGCCCCTGCTGATAAGAGGATACATGCAGGAGGTGCACTGCAGAGACTGCAGCTTCTTTGACAGCAGCCATATGCTTTAATAAGGGAGGCAGGGAGGGAAAGGAGCCAGTTCTTGGAAGCAGGACGTGACTTGAGTGCCAGCTCTCCCATCCTGCAGTGCTGTGACTGTGCCAGGAGTGAGGCTTTTCTGAAGTCTTTCAACATAACTGCAGTCAAGTGTGACTGGCACATTCCCATCTGCAAGCAAATTCAAAGTACTCCATCCCCTTCCACAGCATCTGCATCCTGGGGAGCAAGGGTTGCTGCCTGGGGGTGGGAAGTGCTTGGTTTGAAATGCAGATGTGGAGCCCTTGTGTCCCTGCTCCTGCAGCAGCTCTTTACACAGTGCTGCCTTTTTCATGGCCACTGTGATATCACTGGGAGAGCAGTGCTGAGGTGCTGTGAGCAGAGCTGTGCTCTCTGGAAACCATCATCCATATTAATGGGGAATGGCTGTGTAAGAGTGGGAAGGGAGCCTGGGTGAGCTGGGAACATTCTGAGGTGGGTGCTTGCCCTCACAGAGCACAATGCTGCTCCTTCCCACCTTATAGGGATGGCATCTGTACCCTATAAGGAACAGAAGGATTAGGAAAATGCATGCTTGGATACAGGGCAAAATTTGAGCAGTGTGTGCCAGGTGTGTGACAGCAAGGTGAGTGTGCAGCCTGCACACAGCTCAGCTCCAGTGTCACCACGGCTTCTGCCAAGTGGCTGTTGAAGGGTTGTGTTGGTGGCTGTGAGAGGCACTGCCAGTCCTGTGCAGCTGAGAGAGACTGCAGGGAACTCTGAAAGAAACAGAGAGCAGGTCTTTAGTTCTCTGTCAGGCATTCTAAAAGTTACCAGGGCCTCCACGTTGAGGCTTTTGGTCCTATTGGAGATGAAATCAGCCCATGATGAGAAATCCATTTCCCACTGGCAGCAGCTGCTGCTGGGTGTCTCTTGGTGGCTCTGATATGCAGACCCTCAGTGGGGCTGCTGGGTCACTGCCAAGATCCAGCTCAGCAGGCCCAGCATTGCCCTGACCTGCCTGCAAATGGCTCTGTTGCACACCTTGTTCTAGGCAAGCTGCACATTTGTGTTCCAGTCAGTGCCTCTCAACTGCTTAAAGCCATTTTGGAGTTGGTTCTTTCTCCTTGCTTTGGGTTTCTGGCATCCTCAGTCAGTGCCTTTCAGTAGCAGAACATCCATTGCTCCAGCTCCTGCCTGGGTCAGTCACAGTCTGTGCAGAGCTGGAGATGAAGTTCAGGAGCATTCAGGCTTTATCAGTCCCCATGTGCAGGCACTGTCTGTCAGGAGCAGGGATGGATGGCACAGCTGCATGTCACAATTTCCTGTGGTGCTGATAACCATCTCAGACCGAGTCTGCTTCCTTCTCCTGCAGGATGGCAGCTCAGTGCCTGGCTGTCACTGATGCTGCATCCTGGACTGATCTGCAGAAAAAATGGAGAGATGTGCTGTGCAGGGACAGAGCATGGGGATACAGCAGAGCCGAGTGCTCTGCCTTCACTGATGAATTATGGAAGAACGTTGTGTTCTCTTAGAGACATACTGCTGAGCTTTTTAATGCTGGTTTCATACTTGTTCACAGGCTGGGAGGAAAACTTCTGTTCAGGGATCAAGAGGTACAAGAGCTGAAGCTGAGCCTGTGAGGCTGAGGAAAGATTTATCAAGATTTATCACAGCAGCAGGCAGTGAATTGGGGCTGTCCTGTCACTGGGACCTATTCCACAGACACCTGCCTTCTGAGCACAGCTTTTGGATTTGTTGTTTAGGCAGGTGGGAGCTCCTGGGCTGACAGGGCTGCAGCAGGGCCGGGGCTTGTTGTGTTGCACAAAGACTATTCCCAGGGACACCAATTAGCCAACTGCCCTTGGACAGAGAGCTGGCAGCTGCTGGTGTCTTGCAGCCACTGCTGACAAGTCTGGGTCTGCAGTTTTAACTCTGCCAGAGAAGTGTTCTGCTCTCCCTACAGTGTTACTGTGCTCTTAATTAACCTGATCTGTCATTTCTCTATCAAAAAATGATCTGTAATTTTAAAAGTTCCCTGTTTGTTCCCCTCCTTTCTGAGATTATTCACGGCCTATGGCCTGGAAGGTTCTCTCAGTGCTTCAGGAGTGCCTGATGGGATTTCTGCTGCCTTTCTGCCTATCAGAGCTTTGCTCTGACAAGGGAATGGCTTTGCCTTTAGCTGTGGCACAGCAGTGATTAAGCTGAAGCTATTAAGGGTACATAAAGCTGCAGAGCTGAGGCACAGGCCCCAGAGTTCAGGCACACTTTGCCTCTGTTGATGTGACATTCCCAGCTCCTGCTCAGTGCTGGCAGCAAGGCAAGAGGAGAGGATTTTCCAGAGGCTGCTAAAAGCAGCTTCTGCTTTGCTGCCCAGATGATGCCCTGGTGTTTGTCTGTACTGGGGAAGGACTCTCTGAAGATATTTGTACATGGGCAACTTGTCCCTGTGTGTCTGACAGAGCTTCTGTAACAGCAGGTCTTGGATCTGTGAGAGAGGTGCTGCATGTTGGAATGAGGCATTTGGAAGTGCAATGCTGGTGGGTTTAGGTTTTTTGTGTGTTTGTTTTTTTAAAGTTCTGCTGTTTTAAAGTAACCTTTTTAGTTAGCCAAGTTACTTGAAGAGTGGCTAGGAGAAGAATCAAAGATGTCTTTTTTTCAGGCTTTCTCCCCAGACCTGCCAGCACAGTTAATTGCTTTATACAGTCTCTTCTCCAGTCTCTTCCAGCTGAATTTCCTTTCCCTTTCACGTGTTCCCTTCCTCTCCCTGAATCCCAGTTCGCCCTGTCCTGGTCTCCACGTTGTGTGTCCACCCTCTGGGATGAGCTGGACACTGTTCCAGGTGTCCCTGCAGTCGTGGCTGCAGCTATGTGTGCTTCAGCAGGAGTGGAGGGGATGAGTCAGGCCAGTGCCTTCTCCCTCCCTGGAGATGCAGGGAGGAGAACGAGCTGACAAAGGGAATTTTCCTGTGCTGAATGTCCATGGCTTACTGCAGAGGCATGGAAAATAAATCACTTCTTTGTCCTTTCTTTCCTTGGTTTTCCCCATCTTTATCATAGCTTCCTGCTTGTTTGGCCAACTGGTTTGAAGCAACTGGTGTCAAGAGCTGGGAGGCAGTGCCTTGGTGCTTGGCTGATGCAGGTCTCACATTCCTCCATGGCCTGGGAGCTGCCTGGTTTTCTTCATAAAGTGATTTCCTTGCTGAGCACAAAGGTAAACTCAGGTGGGACCAGAGCATGGGCTGAGAGCTTCTCCATGCAGCCCCATAAGTCCCCCAGATTTATTTCTTCTAGAGGCCTTACTATGGTTCAAACTGGAGCTCTTGAAAAGGATTAAAGATACTTGGAAAACATTTCTTCAAAGAAGACTCCCCAACATTGCTTATTTTTTCTCCCTGGATTAATCAACCTTTATTTAAAGTTACATTTCCAACTTGTCCAAGGATAATGTTTGAGAGAAGGAGGAAGCCCAAAGCTGCAGCTGGAGAGGGGCTGGGAAGGGTCAGCCTTGGTCCCACGAGTCCCAGGCTCCTGCATCAGCTCTGGGGTGTGAGGTGGGTGAGCCCCAGTGCTGAGCTCTCTGCCCAGCCATGGCCACTGCAGTGCAGCAGGGCTGGGCTTGCTTTTTGCACTTCTTTTTGGATGTTGTTTCAAAATCTGTTTATTTTCTTACTACTACAAGGTCTGGGATTTCTGTCTGTCCTTCTCTGTCCCTGAACAGCTTTCTAATTTGAATCCATTGCTCCCCTTAATACCCATTTTCTGGCTTTTGTTTTCATTTTGCCTGTTTTCAGAACTGCCTTCACTTCCCCTTCTAGGCAGGATAAGTTTAAAGCACTGTTTCCTCATTTTCCTTCCATGCCTCTCTTTAAGGTGTATCTCTGAATTGCTGAAAATTCTTTTCAGATTGGGGAGTTTGGCTTTGTTTAGGGTACAAAATTCTCCATTATATATGTATTCTCCATTATAGGCAGTCTGTGTTCAGAAATGTCTCATTTTGGAAATCAGATCTGGTTCTGCCTTCCCATCCATGCATCTCCCTGGGACAGCAAAGGCTCAATTCTCAGTTTCTCAGGGCTTCTGTCACCCAGTGATGGCCACAGTGGATTTCTGGAACTGGGCCTGGACTGCACTGTGCTTTATGATTTTTGACCAATTTTTGTTTTCTGTGGCATTGATTTCCCCTCCCACCTCTTCCTCTCTTGACTAATACCTTGGACATGTTAACACAGGGGGCATCTTGTTTTTTAAGGTGAAACAATTATTGCACACTTGGACTGGCTGAGTCTAATTTGGTGACAGCTTTTCATTAAAGGATCTCATTAAGGTTCTTGCTCAGTTTGTATTTATCAGCAGTTGCAAATACATTGGCATGATGAAATCAAGAGAACTGTACAATGTTATCTTACAGAAACACTTGGCCCAGAGATAGGTGTTTTTCTCTGATAAAGGAATAGGACAATTATCCCACTTCCTGCAAGAGAACCAAATAACAGAATAACAACCCTTCCAGTCTGCAGCAACACGTGGCAGGAGTCACTTCAGTGGTGAATTATGGTCTTTTCAGCAAGGGGAAAAATGTAGAAAGCACTTATAATCTGGTTTGATTTTTGCTGTGTTCAGCTGAAGTGCTGGAAGCACAGCAGAAGCTGAAGTGGTTGTGCTTCCCATCAGGAATTATCTGAGTGGAGAGCAATGGGAGTGTGGGCCAGGAAGGGATGTGGTGACAGGAGTGTCACTCTGGGAGGCTGTGCTGCACATCTTGTCATTGCCTTTCCCTTGGGCCCTAGCTGGGTGTTCCCTCCCAGTGGTTATCCACCCCTTTCAAAAAATTATCCCTAAAGATGGGGGTTCAGGTGTCACAAGTTCCATGTGGCAGCAGTGAAACACAAGGGAGATGCTTCAGGTGATCAGTCTGGTGGGGGATAAGAATGGTAATTTCTGGTCAGAGGGATGATGAGAAGGTCAGAGTCAAAGGAATTGGTGGCTTGGACACAGGGATAAGGCACAGTCCCTTCTGCTTGTGAGGAGGGATGGATGGATGGATGGATGGATGGATGGATGGATGGATGGATGGATGGATGG